GTGGTTCGCTCGGAAGTCATTTCGAACTTGTATGCCAAGCAATGAGTACAAGGAAAGAGCTAACAGTTTTAGAGGGGAAGGATAGTTGGATGTCATTTGGGGTAAATGTCTGTACGTGTTATTGTTTCCATGACACGTCAAGAGCTGCATGCCATGAATTTTCATGGAAGATCTGCAGCCCACAAGCCATTGATAACAAAAACAAATGCACACTGTATATTGACATGGGGCAAGGCACACCAAACCTGGACCATGGATTAATGGAAATCAGTCAGGTGGAAGGACAAGTCATGCTACACGCTCTTCTAGTCTGATGGGCGTGTTTGGGTATGGAGGATGCCTGGAAAACGCTTATTACTTGAGTGTGTTGTCCCAACAGTGAAGTGTGTAGGTGGAAGTATCATGTTCTGGGGTGCTTCTCGTGATATGGACTAGGTCTACTAGTTGCAGTGCATGGATTCGTGAATGCTGAGTATTACAATGATGTTCTGAACAATTCTATGTGTCCTACATTGTGGCAGTTTTATGGTACTGGCCCTTACACCTTCCAGCATGATAATGCTCAGTGTCACAAAGCAAGGATTGTGAATGTGTGGTTTAAAAAGAATAACATAGGAACATTGCAGTGGCCAACACAGAGCCCCGACCTCAACATCTTTGAAATGAACTGGAACACAGAATTAGGGCAAGGCCATGACGGCCCTCTTCAGTAGTGGAGCTTACTAATGCATTATACAAAGAGTGGAGCACAGTACAACCAGCTTTCTACCAGAAATTAGTAGTCAGTCTTCCACGACGCAGTGAAGTGGACATTAAGGCCAAAAGCGGGCCAGCATGATTGCAGGAAAATGGGTGTGACAACAAAATATGCAAATAATTTGGTCTATGAAGGTGATCAGCCTATAAAGGTCTTAGAATAAAGACGTGTTATTCATAACTACCCATATCCCATAACTTTTGGTAGGATAGTGTACATATAGGCTCAATGTGCACCTCACTTAGCTATTGCTAAGTGGTGATTGGCCAATCACAATAAAAAACCAAAACAAATACGCATCTAACGAATTTATTGTTATGTATTTATTTTGAATATGAACGTTGTTTAGATTAAATCTGTATTTAAAAATATGCGTAACTTATAGTGTCAGTTATGTATTGCATATAACGAATTTGTAATATATTTATTTTAATAACAACATTTGTTTAGAATGAGTTTATATTTCAAAACGTGCCTAGCTTACAGTGTTAGTTACGTATGGCGAAACTCCCGCCAATTCTCCAGGACTGTAAAATATTCGTGAACGCAAGAATTGACAATATATCCACTTCCGTAACTGGTTAAATATAACTAGTATTATTGTCCGAACTTTCTAGAAAGACATTTCCCGCCCATATAAAAAGACCAAGGCCAAAGAACAGAGGATAGAGATAAGTCTGCTAGGAACCCGTTATAACCGTGTACGCTATAAACTGTGATTTTGCTAACCCTTATCAACTGTAAAATATACGATATTTGACCAGAAACAATTAAAAATTTCGAACGTCAGTGGATTATCATCGGACGTTAGTATCTTTACGAAATTATTACTGAATTCTCATCGGACATTAGTGGTTTAATGAAAATATTATCTTACTTCGATGGTCCAACAATTCATTGTCAGACAAAGCTAGCTAGCTTCTCAGCAATTGCACGTACATCGACTTCAAGTTAACTCGCTGGATATCAAGGAGACTCTGAACTAGGAAGAAGATTTTAGGTTGTTTGTAAGTTAGTGAAATTTGTGTTTATGAAACTGTTTGTAGTAATTAATTGTAGTAATTGCTATTGTAAATTGTACTGTTGTATATATATTAAAACGTATTTGTGTCGAAAACAAAAACGGTGTGAATCAATGTTGTTGGCAAATAACGTAAATTAAATAAAATATCGGCATATTTCTAAACACTAAATCCAGGGTACAATTCAACTATTAAAATTTAAATTATTTAACTCCGCTTTGGATTATTTCAAATTCTCAATAAGTAACACCATCACTAAGTTGAAAAGGGGGTAAGGAAACAAGTCTTATGTACGTGTAACAATAC